CCCAAAGTTTTTTAACTTTTAGTTCTGAAATAGTTCTACATTTACAAGAAATTGTAGTACTACTACACAGCGCTCATACCCCCCTGCCCAGCTTCCCTTATAATGATGAGTCCCGTGAGCACAGCACAACACCCAAACCAAGGGACAGACACTAGCGCGACAGCCAACTAGGCTAAGGGCCTCAGAGCTGGGCAGTGTGCACAGACACTAATTTCAAGGCATTTCTTCATCCCACTGCAAATTCATATGACTCCCTCTACCTCCCTAATCAAGATCACAGTATGTTTCCAAAGGTCTGTTGGTATTTAAACCGATTTGGTGTTTTAAAAGAGGCACGAAAAAAAAAACAATAAAACTAAAGGTCACTGCAACGACATGGCCGAAGGTGATGATCAATACGACTGCTAAACCCTTAGTGTGTTCCTAGGGACATTTTCTCATTTACTTTGGAAAAAGCATTATTTTCGTGAACATCTGCCTGGCGAGCCCAGGAATTTATTAAGTCTCCATTGTTTAGCAAACATTTTAGGCAGGACGGGCAGACAGGCTGGAGCACACATGCGTCTCTTACTGAATTACAGCAGCTGCCTACAGGGGCATGAGAAGGAGGATCTGGAGGCCACATCTGGGCTTAGTAAGAGACAGCCACCGTGTCACAGAACTGCTCTGTCACAGGGGAGTGGCAGCTGGGTGCATGCCAGGAATTTGCCATCTCCAAAGTTCCTGTGACTCTGTGAGCCACATGGTGATGTAGGGACTGGGCAAAGTGATAAAGAGGCCCAAACCCTGTCCCCAAGGAGATCGTCATTGGGACTGGGGAAGTGGGCATGTTGGCCCAAGCCTGTGACCCAGGACTCTATGCATGCGAGGCTGACACACAGGCAGTCCTTCTGCTGTGCTCTGGGAGCCAAAGAAGGGCAGCAGCTTGGGGGGGTCCTCAGACCTGCGAGCTGCGGAGGCCACGAGGGGAGCTGGCTGGTTTGGGGAGGGGGCAAATCCAGGGACAGAGAGAAACAAGAGTCCATTAGCTGCTCCCCAAGCACACTGGGACCTAGGTTAGAAGCCGGATTCTGGGGCCTGACTGGCTGGGTTCAAATCCTCCTGTAGCCCTTTAGTCTCTGCTGTTAGTCAAGCATCTCAGGAACTGGCAATAATGCGCTTGTCACAGGGATTAGAGGAGTTAACAATTACACAGCGCCTTTCAGACAGTACCCAGGGTTTAGCAGACGCCATGCTGGTTAGTGCCACTGCTAATGTACTTTTCTTCCAGTGGTACTGCAGACTTTTACATGCATTCTTTTTATCATCAGACTAATGAATGAAGGTTAATAAAGTTAATGCTATGGTTTCTAAACTGAAGCATGAATCTGTAGAAATGGGCACGTCACATGGAACATTTGGGAGTAACCTGGCCCACAGGGCTCTCAGATCCCTCCCTCCTGTCCTTCATGCCCTTCCCTTCCCGAGCCTCTCCTTGCTCATCTGTCTTCCAGCCCCAGCCACCCCTTTGCTCACCACCTTCCTACCCCGGGTTCCTCCACCCCATTCCCCCCTTTCCATCCTAGCTCACTTCCTGTTTTTTATTTCCAGCCTGGCAGTGCACAAGGCTCTCTGCAGCCCACACGTCCACGGCCCTTACAGCACAGACCCAACTTTGGTTGGAAGATGTCCACGAAAGAGCGTATGCTAGAAACTTAATCCCTAACACAACAGGGCCCGACTGCCCTTAGGGATGAATACAGCAACGGGTGTGTTACAGAAGCAAGTTAGGCCCTTAGGCCCTCCCCCTAACTTGCCCCTTGATTCTGACCAGCCCAGCCTGCAGAACTGTGATCCAAAATAACCTTCTGTTGCTTGTAAATTACCCAGTCCACAGTAGTCTACTACAGCAACACAAAACAAACTAAGACATACCTAATTCAACTGATACGAGGTCTCCTATGTGTCATGGCAGCTCTCACAGTAGTATTTTTTTTACTACCCTTTTATATAACTCACGAAATATTATATGAAATTTCTGTGGCTAATAAGTCAGGCCAAAAGGATTAATTTTTAACTGTGAGGCTGACAGAGCTCTCTGGAAATTATATGGCAGGCTTCTCAACATGGAGCAGTATTTGAAGCGGGCACGCAGCGGGGAGACAGTAAGTCCAACTCATTTTCGAGTTCAGTGGAGTGGCCAAAGGTTACAGCCTCGCTGAGGTCCCACTGATGACAGATGGTCCCCAGGGTACAATGGGTGCACCTACTGAGGCTTCAACTGCAGGAGGGTGGGACGCACACCCACACAGCCACCCGGCTTTTCACTTTCAGTGCAGTGTTCAAGATGTTACTTCAAGTAGTCAATACTTTATTACAAAACAAGTTTATGGCAGATGATTTTTTTCCACTAGTGCACAAACCCAAGTATTTCACAGATGTTTAAGGTACTGTGTTTGATCAGGTAGGTGTGTTAAGTACAGTTCTGACAGGATATTTTCAATTTATGGTGGGCTTTTCTGGACAAAATGCATGGTAAATCAAAGGGCATCTATACTCTGCATAGACTACAGTGCAAAAAAAGGTGTTTTTTTTACTAAGGGACCATCAGAGTGGAACATAGAGGCACAGATCTGGGTGTCATGATTAACACTTTTGCTTTTCCAGTTTCTCCTCTTTGTTCATTTAGCTAAAGCCTAGTATGTGCTTCCTGCTACTGTGCTAGCCAGGGCCTGGCATTTACCCAGTTCCATTTAGTTACCTACAACCTCCTACGCAGATATCTTGTTTGGAGAGGTTAACTAATTGGGCCAAGTTGCAGTTACCAAGCTTCAGGTCTTAGATTTGGGTCTGGCAGGGCATGAGCACAAAGTCTTAGTTCTTGCCACTTGGTCAGGTGTGTCTCTGGTGCTGAGTGTCCAGCTGAGACAGGCATGAATTACCGGATGACCCAAAGATCTGCAGATCTGGAGAACACAGCAGAACTGCCGTAGACTGTGCAGAGGTGTAAGCCAAAGCCACTGCTGTTTTGTTAAGAATGTGTCATTGCAATTCAAAGTTAAGATGGCTTAAGTGTTTGAAGCTTTTGGGAGGGAAGAGTTGAGCTCAATCACCACCTTCACTAATGCTCTGAACGAGGCACTCAGCCTCTTCTTCCACGTCATCTATGCACGCAGTGAATCACCAAGACCAAGGACTTCACAACTGAAGAACTGCACGGGGCCTCCAGGTTGAGGAGGCCCTGATGGCCACCCTGGCCGTCCTCCCTCCAGGGGCTCAGCTGCTGGAAATAAGTGCCTGCTGACTCTAACCCAATAAGCACTTTGATACTGTCAAGACCCAACCCTGAGTATATTCATCAGCAAATGGAAATGTGCAACAGCCCAAGACTAACTACAAGACAAATGACATTAAAAAGACCCAAGACCAAGTTTGAGGGGGTAGGCAGCTCACAGCTCTTTTCTTTCCTAGCTCTCCAAGAGTTTTATAACAGCCACCAGGTCCCTTTGCTGCCCCAGGACAGTCAGGCCAATCGGACTCTGGTTTTTTTTTTTTTTGTACTGGGAAGCAAACTCAGGACCTTGCACTTACCAGGCAGGTGCTTATGCCACTGAGCGAATCCCAGGCCCTCTGTAACGACAGGCCACCCCAGCTCTGCTCCTATAGCCCAGCCACCACTGCATGTCACACAGGGGCTGGTGGAAACTGTCCTTGCTGAGTACCAGTCTATGAGCAACTTCAACCCCCATGAAAACCTCTTCCTGCATGAGTTAAGGATGCCGCCTAATTCCCCAAATGCTCGAGTTACTCATTTCTGAGTGTAAGAAAAAAATGTGAATGAAATCTCATATTGTAGCAGCAGCAAGACAATGTCTTCAGCATTTTCTTGGTTATTCTACTAGATATCGTTTCAATTAATGGAATTGTAACTTAATGCTTCTGCCTCTTTGAGAGCGCCACTGAAAAAGGCCCAGCAGCTCTAAGATTTGAATGGAGACAGAGGCCAAGAGGGTTCCACTAATAATTTTTAATGTTTCTCATTCTCTTTTAATTGGGGGTTTCCGAACGTAAACAGGCACGATCAGGTCTACTTACAACATTTTTCCAGAGGACAATCTTGGCAGCGCCGCTGTCTGCACAGACCCATGCACTGAGAATGCTGCTGGGTGACAGGCAGTGCGCCCTCAGCACTGGCACGAATAGTGGCTTAGTCACTTTGCCTGGTCCCGTCAGGAGCTACAGGAGGACTTCTGGCCCCAGTGTCCAGCTATGGGCATGGCACTTTGCTTCAATGCTCAGAAGAGCAGAGGGAGTCCCTCTGCGGTCCCCTGTCACCAAGAAGCTCTTGACCCTCTCCCCAGGAGGAGGCACTCAGCAAGAAGTCTGCAGCCCTTACAGGGTTGTGCAGCTTCGTCCGACAGTGGACCTGCTTTCCCTACTCGCGAGCACAAGGGGCCCTAACAACTGGGTTTTCAACCAGGAAATGCACAACAAGGGCCCATTCTAGGGTGACATTAAGAATATCAATAAAAAGAAAAATATAAGGAAAGAAGAAAATAGAAAACACATGGAGCCCAGGAGGCTGGCCGTGGGTGAGAATCAGGCCTAGAGAACTGCCCAATGACCCAGTGTTGCAGCAGATCCCAAACTCCAGGGTAAGGAGATCCCGGCATTTCTATTGGTGGAAAACAGGAGGTTTCCTTCTTTTACCGTTTTCTCTTATTTCTTTATTTTGGGGTGGTCTGTCACCCAAAGCTGGACCATCCACCACTTGAACCTGCCTACCACGTTCATCTTTCCAGAGACAAAGAACAAGTATGGGGTCCGGGGAGCCTTTCCCCCAGCCTGTTCCCAGCAGCCTTCCTCTCCCAGGGTTCTGGAGTGCTCAGAGCAGACACTGTCAGCACGACATGCTGCACACAGCAAGTCACCAAGCCACACTGCGTTCAAGGGGGTCAAGGCTTGCGGGTGGGGCAGAGGGATGACTTACTTGTACTTGTGCTGGTTCCAATCGTGTTGATCGTGGTGGGGACCGAGGAGGAGGAGTAGAGGGGCACGTGGCCGTTCTCACACCCCAGGCTTTTGTCCTGCCAGTTGGAGGCGTTGATGCAAATCCCAGAGTCCCGAGAGTTTTGCCACCCATTGAGCTTGTCATCGGAGTTCTGTCTTTGGTGGTAGTAGTGTGACTGCCCATAATCCACCGAGTCTGAGTGGCCTCGGCTCTGGCCACTGAAGCTGGTTGACGTGCGGTCCTCCAGGTGGTTCAGCCACATGGCCAGAGCACTGCGGTCTTCCAGGGACGTGGCCGGGTGGATCAGAGCGTAGGACAGCAGCTGCCTGCTCTCCTCGATGTGCTGGTTGTGCTCGATGGAGTGGGCCAGGATCTTGGGCAGCAGCTTCATATACTCTACTTTTGCGTCGAGGTTTCCTGGCTTCAGCAAAGGCAGGTGAGTTAACAGGAGGGAAATCACTTTATCCTTGGATTCCTGTTGCCATTGGTTAATTATTCCTGAAAAGGAAAATAGAGAGGACGAATGAGCAAACACGCCCAAGATGACCCTGAGCACCACGCGCTGAGTTTAGGGACTCCCTGGAGCAGAGTTCCAGCCTATGGACCCTGGCTACCTTTTTGTAGAACGTCCTTTGCCTTAGATTGGCTAACTGACGTCAGGATTTTAGGGGCTGAGGACTTCAACAAAACACAAACCAAAACATCCAAAACCATGTTTGGACCTTCCTCTAATCCTCATTCAGATCTTCAAAGAGGCGACAGCTACTTCCATCCAGCCAAACAGAGTTTTGAGTCCTGCTTCGCCCCTTAGGAAGTCTCATCCCTCCCTATAAACAGGGGGCCAAGACTTAAGAAGAGCCAGTGTTGGTATGGGCCCGTGTACCAGTCCTGGGGTGAGGCTGCTTCTCCACCCTAAACACCTGTTGAGAAGTCCTTAAAATACTGGCAAAGGGTTTTGTATGAAACTGGTAAGTGCCCTTGTGGAGAAATTTGTTGAGAATAAAGGGCTCCCCCACCCCAAACCACCCTGGCTGTGCAAAAGTCTGAAGCTTTCTCGAATGACCTGGACTCAGAAAAAATCCAGGGCCTCACAGCTGAGATGAGCCACGGATCTGGGCCTCAGCTCCTGGACATCGCTCATCACAAGTGCTAGGTGTACTCTTTCTCCTTAGTGATGATCTCTTTTTATCTTGGCAAAAATATACAGAATAATAGCTGTTCTCAATGTGTGTCTCAGGGTCATAAAGGGCATGTACAGAGATATGCATCCATCTTCAGAACTTGATCACAACCCCAAAGAGAAACTGTGTCCTCACTGGACACAAATTCCCATTACCCCCTCCCACCAAGCCCCTGCCCACGCCACCAGGCTGGTTTCTGGCTCCATGAACTGACTACTATAGGTACCACAGATGAGTGGGATCAGAGTATTTGTCCCTGTGACTGCCTGACTTCACCAACTGTCATGTCCTCAACGCTTACAAGGATCCCTTCTGCCACTCTCACTCAAAACACAGACAATGCGCTTTGCTTACTGGCCCCCCTTTTGGGCCTGAGAAGTGGCTTGTTGCAGAGCTTGGCAGTTCTCCAAAGAGGCCCAACAGGCTTGAAGCAGTATCCGCAGGTTGCCAGGGGTTCTCATGACCAAAACTACGAATGCTCCTGGAGGTGGTGGAAACACTGAAGAAGTGGGGTGCCTAGTAGGAGCTTTTTAGTTAAGGCAGCCTGAAAGAGATAGTGTCACCGCTCCTTCTTCCTGTCTTTTTATTTCTTGGCTGTCAGGCCCAAAAACAGCAAGCCCAACTGACTTGGATGGAAACCTCCCAATCCCAGGGCCAAAATAAACGTTTCCTCTTTTGAAGTTCATCATCTCTGGTGTTTGTTACAGTAAAGGAATGCAGACTAACAATCGACGAGGAAGGGATGGTGTCTAATGAAGGAGCATGGGCTTTGAAGTCAGGCAAGCCTGGCACGGATCCCGGAACTGCCACTTAACTTGTGGTGGGACCTTGCTCAATTACTGACCCTCTCAGAGCCTCCACCACCTCATCAGTCAAGAGTGGTCCGAACAGCACTTGCCTCTCCTAGCGTTCTTGGATTAAATGGGATCTAAGTAGAGAAAGAGCTGATGAGGGCTTGATGGTGGACGCAGTCCCCTCTGCTTGCCTCCACAGACCCATATGGCAGTGATACGACTGGGTTTGGATCCCGAGTTTCAAAACTAATAGAGACAAGCTGGGGGAAACCAGCAAGTTGGAAAAAGAGGAGAGGAAAAAGTCAAAGGTAATGGAGTAATGGAGGGTGTAACATTACGCAGAGATCTAGGCTGTCTCCAAATGGAGTTGAAATGGGGGATGTTAGCGCAGGATGGGTAGAAGAACTGGACTGTCAGAGTCGGAGGAGCTCGGAGCATCACCAAGGCAGGCTCCAGGACCTGTTTTCTGGTGGCTTGAGGCCTCCAGCCAGGTGACAAAGAGCAGCAGAGTTCACAGGAATCTCACGAGAACCACCTATGGAACTCCAAGCTTTTTAGCAAGCCACATCAGGGAAGAGGAACGTTAATGTGGCCGACTTAACTTTGCCACTGAATGTGACTTAACCCAATATATCAAAATGTCATTTTAGTAAGAATCAATATAGGGGGCCGGGGAGATGGCTCAGTGGAATAAGCGCTTCCCTGGCAAGCACAAGAACCTGAGTTCAATCCCCGGTTCCGCAAAAAAAAAAAAAAAAAAAAAGAATCAATATAAAATTATTAGGGACACATTTTGCCTTCTTCAGTTTCACATTATGTCTTTGCAATCTGGGGTGTATGTGTGCCCCCTACCTCACCCCACCCCCCGCTGGCCACAGCTGCAGTGCCTGGAAGCTCCTGAACTGGCCAGCATAGGCTGGAGACAGTCAGATGCGGAAGGCGGGCGAAACAGATGCCCTCAGAGGTCCCTCCCAGTCGCAGACTATATTTAGCTAATTGCCACTCGATACAAGACAACCGTGCGTTCCACTAGGTATGGCCTCCTTCCTACAGCCATGCTGGGAGATGGGCAAATAGGGCAACTGCCATCCGTGCGTCGTCAACGCATGCCAAGCACGTTTTAATTGAGGAATACGCTTAGGATCAAGACATGATCTATTCAGGGAGCCCAAGGGTCTCGAGAGGCCCTGCCAACAAGCAAAGGGGCTGAGAGCATGGCCAGCTGGTGTCATAGGCCAATGCTGACCAGAGGTGACTAGGGGATTCCTCAATATGCACGTTTAAAAGTGGTATTTGGGAAGCCACCTGCAGTAAAAGCACACAAGGCTAAAGGACTGGCAGCTTTCTGCTAGGTCATTTCCTTGTTTGGATATTCTATCCCTATGCAAAAGGTCAGGCTAAAAACAAAAACAAACTCAGGAAGAAAAACAAAATGTAAATAGGACCCACAGTGCAAACGAAACAGGTTGTCTCCATGGAACTGCTCCTGCCAGGGATTAACCTGGGGCTCAGAGGAGAAACCAGCACCGGTAAGGAGGAGGGGAAAGAATCAGAGGCCCTGGGGCTGGGGCATGGCCAGGAAGATGACAGGCTTGTCCGCTCCCTCTGGGAAGTAGAAACGAGGCTGTGTTCTGAGGCCCAACACCCCACTATATCAGACTATACTTGCCACCGCTATAGCTGCCACCACCAAGAGCGAATGGCATCAGTGTTGTCCATGTGCTGGGCACTCTCCGAAGCCCTGGGCACTTAATAGCTCATTTAATCCTCCTGAGAAGCTTGTGAGGCAGTCCCAGCACAAGCCTTACTTTGCAGACAAGGGTAGAGAGGCCCAGATGGGGTAAGCTGCTTCTCCCAGATTCCCTGGCTGAAAGGTGGCACAATAGAAGTGGCAGATTAGCTTAAAGACACTTAGTGGTTACCACACTGATGGCTTCGCCATAAGCTAAATGGATTAGTGTTATAATATATAATTATATCTTAACTGTATGCAAGTGTGTGATAGTTGTAAATACAGCAATGTAAATATATTAGAGAGTACACGGACTCCCGCAGAAGAGTTGGCCAGCCTGGAGACGGAGAAAAAAGAAATGATGGAGACAACATGAAGCTTGTCCAATCTGTGGCCTAAGGAATGCCTGCCTGCCCTCTTTTTCTTTTTACTATTACCATAAGAATACAAATTTATTACTCATCTGTGTTAAGTATATATTTGATATGCAGCTCAATTCAATTCCTCTTCATCTAGCAGCCCAGGCAAGCCCAGAGGTTGAACACCCACACTTAAATTATACTTTTGGTGGTTTTAAAATACGCCCATAATTTCTTCGGCATTCATCTCTTTGAAAGGTAGAGGCTAACTCCTCAGAGTGCAGGGCCTCATGTACCTAGGCAAGCACTCTCCCCACTGAGCTCTGCTCCTAGCTCCGCTCCCTTCCTTCGGTCCAGGTGGGATTCACACAGAGCATTCTGGGAACGGCAGTGTGTGGCTGCACGGACTGAGTCATAAAGCACTCTGCAGCTTCTGCCTTGCTTTCTCTTGGATCACTCCCTGCAGGGGAAGGCCACTGCCATGTTGACAGGGGACCCAAGCTGCCCGACGACGGCGAGCAACCAAGACCTCCTGCCTACAGCCAGCACCAACCCAAGAGCCCCATGAGGGAGCCCCAGCGGATGCTAACGACCCTCCCTCGGAGGCCTTCAGGTAACAGCAGCCCTAGAGAAGACATCCGGGGACCCTGAGTGAGAATCACTTGTATTCCCGATCCACAGAAACTGCATTGCCTATGTACTCATTGTTTTCAGCTGTTAAGTTCTGAGTGATTTGTCATTCTGCCAAAGAGAACAAAGACACTATTGAGGAAAAAGGAAATTTTAGCCATCTAGTTTCTAGTAGTTTGGTCCTTTGAGCAAGGGGCTTCCACTGGAGATAGAGCCAGGAAGCTGACCTACAGCCACGGAACAGTCCCTTTACTCCACCTCCCTGTCCAAATCACCCACTGCCCAGCAGCTTCTAGGTCCAAATGAGAGGATGAGCTGACCACATGGCGTTTAGCTATTTCCAGATTCCAGAACAGGGATTTTTCAGGACTGTTTAATAAATGACTTCTGATTATGCTCTGGCTTCCTGCGGAGGCCTGGTTATTGGCAGAGTGTGTGCTGATTGTGTGGACCCAGAGTACATGTGGCCTCTCTGACGACAGCTCCTTCAATAGCTCCTTGTGGCAAATTAGCAAGCCAGTTGTCCCTGCTTTCTAGTTAGCATGGGGTTAGCCTTTTAGGATGAGCTGCTCTCCCCGGGCCCTGCCAAGGATGAGCACTTCCGCTTCTAAACAGAAGTGAGATCCTCCGTGCGTGGACATGGGACATAATGGCGTGGTCCTGCTACGTGCCCACTGGCTGCCTTCACTTATTGACACCACTTCTAGAGAGTCTTTGCTGAAATCTCCTTTGGAGAAGGCCCAGGAATCCTTATACTTTTCCAACTATGAATCACTTCTGAGATTCAGTCTAACCAGTCATC